AAATGAATCTGTTACTTTATTTATTTTATGTATTTATTTTTTAAAATTTTTTTGGAGAGGTTTTTGCTATAGGGCATGTGTGCTCGCCAGAAAGACAGAGAGACCGAAAGCGAGAAATCGACCCCCAGCACGGATGGCCACACTGCAATCCCTTCTCCTCCATTCTCTTCTCTGGATCTTGGGCATGCACTCACTTGCGCTCAGCTTGAGTTTTAGCCACTGGGTCCGGGACTCGAACCACGGTCGACTACATGGGAGTCCAGCGACATAGCCATTACGCTAACTGCTTGTCTCCGTCTGTTAATTTAAAATACTACTTTCTCATTGCATTATCTTGTCATTTCTTTCACAAATCAATTTATCATATTAATGATTTCTAAATATTATATCAATTTATGTGTCTAGCTTTATGCCAGTATTACTCTGTCTCGATTACTGTTTATTTGTAGTATGCTTTAACATTAGGAAGTTTGAGTACTCTTAACATTCTTTTCAAGTTTTTTTGGCTATTCTGGATCATTAGCTTTCTGTATTAATTTTAGGATTAGCTTATCTCTTTTTGGAAAAACAGCTGAAATTTTGGTAGGAAATATGATAATTTTGTAGATTGCATTGAGGAGTGTCGCCATCTTAACAAGTCTTTCCATCCATGAACATAATTTTTTTTAGTCTAGATATTCAATTTCTATCATCAGTATTTATAGTTTTTAGTATACAAGTCATACACTTCCTTTGTTGAATTTATTGCTAAATATTTTATTTCTTTGGATGCTATTTCAAATGCAACTATTTCTTAAATTTCATTTTATTTTTTTACTCTTTAATTTCTTATTTATATTCAATCATTGTACATCTTTGTAGCACACAATGTATTTTTCAAAGTATGCATGCAGTACTTGACAATCAAATAAAACATATCACCATATATATATTTTTAAGTCTGCTAAATGTTTGTTCCCTGGACCTCTCCCACTCACCTCCTACTATCCATTCCTCTCCCACACAGTTTCTGATATCTACTTAGACAAACTAATCCTAAAATTAATATGCAAAGCTAATAATCCAGAATAGCCAAACGACTTTGAAAACAAGACTGTTAGAGTACACGTATTTCCTTATTTCAAAACATCTACAAAGACACACTTGTCCTCCCTACTAAAATATCTTGGAATCTTTAAAATTTCTGCAACAAAGTGTAGACATTCTGTATATATTAAGCAGGGGTAAACAGTGTTCATCTTTCATACTCTGGTTTACTTCACTTAGCATTAAATCTTCTATATTTGTCTAAATTTTTTAAATTTCATTTTCTTTTATGCATTCAATCACGTTATTTAGCTTACAAAGTGAATATTCCAACATGTGTGTTCCTTATTTTTTTGGTCATAGCCATTGCGATTGGGGTTAAGTGGTATCTATTGTGATTTTGATTTGTATATCCCTTATAATAAGACATGTTGAACTTTATTTCATGTACATTCTAGCTGTTCATATGTTTTCCTTGGCGAGTTGTCTGTTAGGTTCATTTCCCGAGAAATGTCACTTCTATGCCTATTTTCCTGAGAGTCTTAATTATGAAGGAATGCAGTAATTTTAACAAATGCTTCTTTTGTATCAATTGATATGATCACATAATTTCTATCTTTTCTTCTGTTAATTTGATGTATTACACTTATTGTTTTGTGCATGTTGCACCATCCTTGCATCCTTGGGATTAAGCCTACTATGTCATGGTGTATAATATTTTCAATGTGGTGTTGAATTTTATTTACTAATTTTTTTAGAATGTTTGCATCTGTATTAATCAGGTATTTTGGCCTCTAGTGTTCAGTTTTTCTTTTTATTCCCTTATCTACTTTGGTATCAAAGTGACATAAACTTCATAAAATTAGTTTGGAAGGGTTCCTTTCTTTTAGATCTTTACAAATAGTTTGAGAAAAAATGGAGTTAATGCTTAAAAATTTTGTAGAATTTAGAGGAGAAACCATAAAGATGTTAGCTTTTCCTTGCTGAGAGACTGTTTATTGTGATTCAATCCCATTTCTTATTATTGATCTATTCAAGCTTTCTATTAAAATTTATTCCTGGTTCAATCTCAGTAATTTACATGTATCCAGAAATGTGTCCATATCATCTAGGACTTCTAGCTTGTTGATATATAGTCACTTGTAGAATTCTCTCATGATTTTTTGTTTTTCTTATATATCTGTTGTATATTACCACCTTTGTTGCTAATTTTATTTATCTGGCATCTTTCTCCATTTTTATTGATATTATCTGGCCAATAGTTTGCCAATTTTGTTTATCCTCTCATTAAACCAGCTTTTTTGTTTTTCTGGTATTTTGTATTGTTATTTTATTCTCTATTTTATTTATTTCAGCTCTATAATTTTTTGTTTCTTTTTGTTGTCGTTGGCTTTTTTATTGTTATTGTTGTTGCTTTTCTGGTTTCTTGAAATGTATCATTAAGTTATTTATTTGCCACCTTTCTACTTTTTTATTCTGAGCACTAATTGCTAAGAAATTCCCTTTTATAGCTGTTTTTTGCTGTGTCCCAAAGATTATAGTCATGTATTTATTATCATTGGTTTCAATAAATCTTATTTTGGTCTTAATGTCTTCAGTAGTTTGGAAGTTGTTCAGGAGTTGGTAATTTGGCTTCTATATTTTTGTGTATTTTTGAGAGCTTTTTTTGTGGTGAATTTCATATTTAATTCCATTGTGGTTGGAGAAGATGCTACATATTATTTCTAAACTTTTAAATTTATAGAAGCTTGTTTTATGCCTTGTTCTATGGTCAGTCTTCAAAAATGTTCCATGTGAGGATGAGAAAGTGCTTTTAGTAGTTGTTGGGTGAAATAGCCTATAAATGTTTGTTAGGTCCATTTGTTTTATGGTATCAATTGGTTCCTCTCTCTCCTCATTAATTCTTTGCTGAGATGATTTGTCCAGTGGTGGCAGTGAGGTGTTTAAATTTCCAAAATCAGTGTGTTGCAGTCTATCTGTCCCTTTAAATTTAACAATCTTTTATCTATTTGGATGCCCTGGTGTTGTGTGTGTAAATGTTTATAATTGTTATGTCTTTTTGGTGATGTAGTCCTCTTAATACTATATTGTATCTATCTTTGTGTCTTTTTATCATTTTTATTTTGATGCCTGTTTTGTCTGATATCCATACCACTACTCGAGCCTTTGTTTTGGTTTCTGTTTGCATAAAATTATTTTTCCTGCTCCTCTCTTTCATTCTATATATGTCTTTATCTATAACATGTATTTCTTATAAGCAACATGTGGAAGGTTCCTGTTTTTTAATTCATTTAGCCAATCTATGTCTTTTAATTGAGGAATATAATCCATTAACATTCAACATTATTATCAGTATGTTCATATTTAACCTTGTCATTTATTACTCATGTTTTTTAGTTGTTTTGTGTTCGCTTCTTTCTGTGTATCTTGCTTTCATTTTCCTGATGTAGTAATCTTTTAAGTATTTCCCGGCTATTTGGTCTAGTGTTAGTAAAATCTTTCAGCTTTTATTTATCTAAAAATTATTTTATTTCTCCCTCTCATTTGAAGAGTCATCTTGCAAGCTATAGTGTTCTTTGGTGAATTTTTTTTCTTTCATAGTTTTAAATATGTCTTCCCATTTTTTTCCCTGGCCTTCATTATTTCAGTTGAGGTTTCATATTAGTCTAATAGGGTACTTTGTGTGTGTGTCTGTTTTATTTTTTAGAGGTTTTTGCTATATGGTGCGTGCGCTCACCAGACAGTCAGAGAGAGAGAGAGAGAGAGACAGAAAGCGAGAAATCACCCCCCAGGGGGGATGGCCACGCTGCAATCCCTTCTCCTCCATTCTCTTTTCATGATCTTGGGCATGCATGCCCATGCACCCATGTGAGTTTTAAGCCACCATGTCCAGGACTCTAACTGTAGTCAACTATGTGAGAGTTCAACAACATAACTATTACACAGTCTGTTGGTTATTCCACAAACTTTTAGCAGTACATTTGTGTGTATACTTCATGAAATGATTAAATCAAATTAATGAGTATATTCATCACCTCACATACTTTCCATTTTTTTTTTTCTGGTAAGAACAGTTCAGTCTCTTAGCAATTTGCAACTATATAGTGCATTAATCTCTATGGTCACCAGAGAGACAGAGAGACAGAAAGTGAGAAATCACCCCCCAGGGGGGATGGCCACGCTGCAGTCCCTTCTCCTCCATTCTCCTCTTGAGATCTTGGGCACATACGCACACGCACCTGACGTGAGATTAAGCCACTGGGTCCGGAATTGAACCGAGATCCACTACATGGAAGTCCTGCGACATAGCTATTATGCCAACTGCTGGTCCCATTTGTCTTTGATTTTTAAAAATTTGCTTATGATACACCTTGGAGAGGATCTTGTTATGTTAAATCTGTTTGATGTTCTTTCAATTTCCTAAAGCTGGATGTCTGTATGTCTCTCTAGATTTGGGAAATTTACATATAATATTTATGAAAGATATTTTCTATGCTTTTACCTGTCTCTTCACCTTCTGGCATACCCTGAGTATGTGGATATTAAATCACTTTATCATTTCTAGAAGCTCCTGTGTGTTGTTCTCACCTTTAATGGTTATTTTTCCATTCTTTTTTTAAGATTTTTTTTTTGTCTTAGGGCATGTGTGCTTGACAGAGAGACAGATAGAGACAGAAACAGAGACAGAGACAGTGAGAGGAATAGTAAGAAACCATCCCCTAAGGGGAATGGCCACGCTTCAATCCTTTCTTCATTTTCCTCCCAGGATCTTGGGCATGCACACACACACACATTAGGCATGTGTTTCAAGCCACCAGGTCCAGGACTTGAACTGTGGTCGGCCATATGGGTCTCCAGTGATATAACTGCTATGCCATATGCTAGCCCTAACTCTTCAATTATTTTTAATAGTTTAGACTAAATCAGAGGTCTTGTCTTGAAGGTCAGAGATTCTTTCTTCTGCATGGTAGTCTAAAAAAAGGGAGGAGGATTCTTCATGAATTTGTAAGTTATACTTGCACAGCGGCCATGCTAATTTTCTCTGTGTTGTTCCCATTTTAGTCTATGTGCTGCCAAAGTAATTTTATTTTCTAATGGTCTTTGTTATGTTTAAGAGCACATTATTTTTTAGATTTATATTGAATTTTGCAAATTTGTTGAACTTGTTTATTAATTCTAATAAATTTGTGGGGTTTTTGCTTGTGTGTATTTATTATTTAGCATTTGTATATGTAAGATTTAATTTTCTGGGACAGATAATTTTAGGTTTTCCTTTGTGATCTTAATGTCTTTTATTTCTTTCTTTATTTACTTGATTTTCCTGGCTAGAACTTCTTGTACAATGCTGAAGAGAAGTGGAAAAAGCAATCATCTTTGTCTTTTCTTTGACATTATGGGGAAAACATTCAGTTTCTTACCATAAAATATGATGTTTACTATTGGTTTCTAATAGATCATCTCTATAGGGTTGAAGAAATACATAATTTTCAGTTTGTTTACTGTATTGTCATAAAAAGGTGTTAGATTTTTGTCTTGTCTAATTTTTATATCTATTTAAATGATCATGTGGTTTTGTATGGTTTACTTTATTAATATCTTTTGGTGTATTTATTCATATTTGTTTTTTGAAACAACTTTGCATTCTTGACATAAAACAAACATTTTTATCCAATGTAATTATTGAAACGTTAGTACTTAACTATGCTCTTTATTATCTTTTTTCTCTATTTGTTTTCTTTTTCATATTTCATTTTCTTTATTCTTCCTTCTACATTACATGATCACTTTTTATAATTTCTTTTTTATTTATTATTATTATTTATACATTCAATCGCTATTCATCATTTAAATTTTAAAGAGACTTTACCTAGCATCATATACACTTCAGTCCAGCCCAGTTGAGAATACTATACACATCCTCATCAACAGATAATCTCTTTTTTGAATTCAGTTTTATTAATAGTGTTTTTGATTGAATCATTTTGTGTAGCTTTAAATCATTGCTCTAGGTATACACATAAGCACACATAAGTACATAACATCATGGTCTACTGATGTCATCACTTCATGTTTTTGAGTAAAATAAAGAAACCTTATCATCCTTTATGTTATTTTATCCCTTCTCTTTATAATATTATTGACTTAAATATTTTTGTCTATATGCTTAGATGCACATCAGACAATGTTATTATTTTCCTTCAGACAGCAAACAATTTAGAAAATGCAAGAAGAGAAAGAAAGCTGATTGAATTTACCCATATTTTTGCTTATTATATTCATTTTTCTATCCTGATGTAAAATTTTTCCTTTTTCTATTTCTATTTTTGGTTAGAAAACCTCCTTTAGCTTTCTTGTAAGATAAATTTGATTACAACAAATTCCTTTAGTTTTTCTTCATCTGAGAATGTTTTGATTTCCTCTCATTTTGAAGGAAATTTTTACTAGTTATAAGATTTTTGGTTGACAGATTTTTTTTTCAAGCTCTGAAACATAACATGTAATATTTTTTTTGAAAGAGATTTTTTGCTATAGGGCACATGTGCTTGCTAGAGAGACAGAGAGACAGAAAGCAAGAAATCATCCCCCAGGCGGGGTAGCATTAGATTTAAACCACCAGGTCCAAGACTCAAACTATGGTCAGCTATGTGGGAGTCCTGCAACGTAACTATTACACCATTTGCTGGTCTCAAAAAAATTTTTTTTTAACTTTGCAGGCCTATTGAGTTTTGGCTAGTGTCTTTTATAAAAACTTTTAGGGTGTAACTTAATAGTTTGAAACCACAGCACTTCCATTGAATGTATTTTTAGTTACTTTTTGGAGGCTAGACCCTTGAAGATGGCTATTTTGCAATTATTGATAAAGTGAAAACCTTTTTTCACTTTGAAACAAATCTCCTTGAGTCCTGGTCAAGTCACCTGAGAATGGCTCTGTGGTTATCTTAAAGTCTTGAGCTTGTAGGGAGCGTGCACTCCCCAGAAAGACAGAGAGAGACAGAGAGATAGAAAACGAGAAATCACCCCCCAGGGGGTATGACCACGCCACAATCCCTTCTCCTCCTTTCTCCTCTCAGGATCTTGGGCACACACACACACGTGCCCAGCGTGAGTTTAAGCCACTGGTTCTGGGATTCGAACTGCGGTCGACTACATGGGAGTTCAGCGACATAGCCATTACACTATCTGCTGGTCCCAAGCTTGCGGTGTTTTTTATTGAAATGGTAGCACTTCAATGCTGACAGATTCTAAACTCTAATATTCTTCAATTAAGTGCCCCTAATAGAAAAATGAGGTGGTAGGATTGAAGATTTTATTCATAAGTTAGATTCACTATATTATGGTATATAGCAGGATATAATTCTTTAGTGCATTTAATAATCTTAATATTTTAAATGTTTTTAATTAAATGCTATAATAATTTCATATCTCATAATTATTTGATAAAAGAGAAAATAAATGTTCATAGGCTTTAGGGTCTGTTGGAGCTAATAGTATACTTAAAGTAGTGGTTCTCAACATTTCTATCAGAGAATCTCTCATCTTTTTTATTTATTTATTTATTTATTTTTTATTTTTATTTTTTTTGAGAGGTTTTCGCTATAGGGCGCGTGCGCTCGCCAGACAGACAGAGACATAGAGACAGAAAGTG